CGTTCCGAAGTGAGCCGCTCCGGGAGGACTCGCCGGCCCGGGAGCCAGGTGAGTGGCAGCGCCCCTCCGGAGAACCTCCTGGCCGCCTTTCCGAGTGGGGGCTTCGGTAACCCTCAGTGCCGGGACTGTGGTCTGCGTTTAGGGTCACTTCCCGGCACCCCACTTCCTTAGGCTTGTTTGAAGACTCCTGTGCGGGCACTTAGCGTATGCTCAGAGACCTCGTGACATAGCTCCACGATTGACTTTGGCACATGATATTGTTGTTATGATTGTTATTATTTTGGGGTTCTGGGGCTCAGCTTAGGCCTTATCTGAACGAGGAAGTTCCTTTCCCGTGTCTTCCAAGTTGCTTAGACTACATCTCCCATCGTCTCCGCCCGTTCCCATTTGGCGCGGCGATTGGCAGGGCTGACGGAAACTGTACTCGAAACTCACCTAACCCCCTCCTTGAGGCTCAGGTTGCGTGAGTCGTATGGCTTCCGAGTGGATGTATCTGTCGTCCAGCCTCCTACCGAAGGGCATCGGGGGAAAGGCGCCAAAATCAGCGGCCGGACCGGGCGCAGGATGGGGTGGGGGAGCGGCCACAGGTTTTACGCGTCGCCCCAGGCGCTCAACCCCGACAGCGCCTTCGGGGTTTGCGCGCCGCCTCTGGGCAGACCTGGTGGGTTGAGGCGCGGCCAAGCCGATCTTGCCACCGGCTTGCGCGCTTGGCAAACTTGGCGCAGAAGCGGCCGTCCCTCGGTGCGACTCGGAGGTGCGGAGCCCAAGCCGCGGGCAAATCGGCGAGCCTCGCCTTGGCCCTTCCCTCCAGCCTGCGCGCCCAGAACCGGGTGGGACTTAGGAGTCCCGGGACCTGCTTTTCCTTCTCTAGATTTCCGCCTCCGCTGAGCTTCCTGCCCCTGGAAGGGTCAAGCTGTGCCTGCGAACAAGGGCGTCGCCTTGAAGCTTTTCCTGCTGGCATGGAGCCCGCCACCTCAGCGCTTCGCCTTCGGGATTTCAGCAGGTCCCGCAGGCAGAGCGCGAGGAGCTGGCCGCTGTTGCTCCCCCGCTCCCCTTCAGCATCTGGAACCAAGAAGGTTGACCCCCGTGTCTACTGGGGAGAAAGCCTCCACACTAACCCCATTGGCAGTTACTTCCGAGGGAAGGGGGGACCCTCTGCCTGTGCTTAGAAGCACCTGCGTTCTGTGGTGGTGGGATCCACGGCTGAAAATAGGCGCCCCTGCTCAGGTTTATCCCTGGCTTTTATTTACCTGCCTTCGATCTCTGTTTTTAAGCAAAGGGCGAGAATCGAGAAGTTCGCCTCTTGGGGGGAGCGGAAAGGGGCGTCCGCTCCGTCCAACCTCCCGCTGGCGCTCCCGGGCCCAGAATCAGGGCTGGGGGCTTCCAGAACCTACAGGGCTGATCTATGCAGCTGCTGCTTCTTTTCACGCGCGGGGGGGGGGTGGGGGGGGGCACTGTTCCAATAACCATCCAGAATTAGTCTCCATAAATTAACCTTTCCATCTGTTAAGAGATGAAAGGAAGGTGTGTGTGTGTGTATTTCGGGAGGGGGGAGGGGAAAATTGGATCAAAATAAAAGGAAAGCAACGCAAAGAAATACAAAGGGGTTGCTCGGTTGACACCCTTCTCAGGATTTCCAGAAAACCGTTTCTGCGTGACTTTCAGGGAAAGCGGCGCCTGCGGTTTTTCTCCTTCTCCTTCTGCAGACGGGGATTCAGGCTGGAAGAGGAGAGACGGGCAGCAAATTACTGTATTCTAATCCGGACTGGAACCTGTCTCCAAAAGTGGCTGTGCATTTCTGTCACGTGAGGTTGGGATGGGGTTAGCGAAGGTCCGGCGGGAGTTGCTCTGCTGCGGTCAATTTCTGGAAGCGGAAAGTAAGTCTGGGATGAAGCTGCCCGTCCAGGTCCCGAAGCTCGAGATCTACGGGCGCTCCTCGTAGAGCAGGGGTCGGCAGCCTGATGCCCTCCAGATGGTTTAGACTTTCACTCCCATCAGCCACAGCCAACTTGGCCAATGTTCAGGGAGCATGGGAGTTGACGCTCAGAACATCCGGAAGACCCTCGATTGCCTGCTTCTGAGTTGATGTCCCTAGAAAGCGCCTGTTTCCGCTCCTCCCCGTCCAATCTGTGTGTGTTTAGTGCCTCCTTGGTTCGGGAATGCCTTGCAAGGAGGTGAGGAGTCCGTTTCTATGAAAACAGTCCCTCCCCTAACCCGAAACTGATAGAGAAACCTGGCATTAGACCGGCGTTTCGCTCGGCAAAAGTAAATACTGGGGTTGGAGCCTGCCTCGCCCCGCCCCAGGCAGCCCGAGTCCTGTCTTTACCCCGGATCCTGCCGCCTCTTCCCTGCCCTCCTCCTTCGCCCTGCTTCTGAGGCTCCGCCGGCGGGAGCTGCGGCGGCTAAACAAGAGGGCGGACTCCTTAGTGGCGTAAACCTGGGTTTTGCCCGTCCTGGGAAACCCAGAAGGAGAGGACGCGCTCGCAGATCCGTCTCTAGGCGTGAGAGGCGGTGCTGGGGGCCACCCGGAATCAGCCTTTCCCGACCGGCGCCGTCCAGATGTGTGGGGCTTCCAACTCCCATCATCCGCAACCGGGGGCGGGGAGTGGACGGCCAGTACATCTGGAGAGGCGCGGTTGGAGGCTGCCGCGCGTTGTCCGTGAGGAGTGAGGTCTGCGCGCCTCTTCTTTGCGCTAAAACTCGGCGCCGGGGGGCGGGGGGGAGGGGGGGGGGGGGGGGGCCGGCCAGTACATCTGGAGAGGCGCGGGTGGAGGCTGCCGCGCGTTGTCCGGGAGGAGTGAGGTCTGCGCGCCTCTTCTTTGCGCTAAAACTCGGCGCCGGGGGGCGGGGGGGAGGGGGGGGGGGGGGGGGCCGGCCAGTACATCTGGAGAGGCGCGGGTGGAGGCTGCCGCGCGTTGTCCGGGAGGAGTGAGGTCTGCGCGCCTCTTCTTTGCGCTAAAACTCGGCGCCGGCGCGCTTTCAGCACCTCGGACAGCTCACGCCGCGCTTCGAACGAGCGGCGGCGGCGGGGCGCTTTCCTCGGGGCGCTGGCGGTTCGGCCGCGGCGGTTGCGATGTCACAGCCGCAACCGGGTTTCCACGTCGGGTGCCTCCCGGGTTTCACTGGAGGGTCTGACTTCCAGAAACATGCATGAAGGTGGATTACGCTTATTTATTCCTAACCAGCTATCCAGTAAGATGTAACAGGGTGGAAGGTAGACGGTCCCAAGGAGCCTTAGGCACGCTCTGCGTACCATCCCAGATTCAGTGCCAGGGAATAAATCCATCTGAAACCTTAGGAATCTGCTGCTGGGACTGAGTTTTTCTTGTATGACTTTCCAGCAAACAAACAAATAAACAAAAGTGTTGTTAAACCCATCCAGCTGTTCTGGGAGCTGTATATTTCTAAAGCAGCCCGTATGCCTCTATGCCTATGGGGGTTTCTTCAAAAGTCATTATTGTGGATCAGGTTCATTGTACAAGCCACGGTTTGCTGAATAAGCCACAGCAGTCTTGTTTCCACCCAGCAACCAACATAAAGGCTAGATTCATCCAGGGCACCGAGCCAAAACTAATAATCCACATGATGGTTAATGGTAGGCTGAACTAGGCTGTCTGGTCTGGGGTGGCTGTTCTCTCCCAAGTGAGATTTAGGGCTGGAGCCAGGCTTAAGCAAAAAGTAAATTCTAATACTATTGTGGAGTTTAGTCCCAGGTAAGTGGATATCACATTTGGGGGGGGTTGTGCAGACCCAATCATTGTGTAGTCATGGCCCCTGTAGGAAATAATTTATTTCCTCTATGCATAAAATAGTATTTAAAAAAAATGGAATGTTTACTTAATTTATAGTCACTTTGGCTGTGATGATTCTCCTACTTTCTTCATGACTGGTTCCAATCATTGTTGATAGATGGGAAGAGGCCATGCCCAAAGTCCCTGATGTGTGGGATGCCTCAGGACTTGACACTCTCACCCCTCCTGTTCAACATGAAGCTACTGGGTGAGCTCATCTGTTGACCCAGGGTCAAGTATCATGAGTATGCAGATGATACCCAGTTGTACATCTCGACTGTTGATTGGTCAAGTGACGCCATCAGGATCTTATCTCAGTGTCTGGAGAGTGTTGGGGTCTGGGTGGGGAGGAACAGGCTTAAGCGCAACCCTGACAAAACCATTTGGGTTGGTGATTCTTCTGGTGCTGGGGATTTTCCATCTTTAATTCTGAAGAAAATTTAATTTCCCCAGATACAGCTGGTGCAGTTTGGAGGCCTTCCTGGACTCACAGCTCCTGCTTGAAGAGCAGGTGGCAGTTATGGCCAGGAAGACCTTTGCACACATCCATCAGGTGCGCCAACCCTGTCCTTTCCCGGACTGGGAGTCCCTTCTCACAGTCGCTTATGCCTTAGTCATGAATGGATTATTGCAATGTGCTGCACAGGTGGCTGCCCTTGAAGACCATTCTGAAGATATAGCTGGTCCAGAATGCAGTGGCACAAGGAGTTATGGGCATGCCTTGGGTCGCCCATGTAATGCTTCTGCTACAGAGCTGTGCTTGTCACCAGTAAGCTTCTGGTTGCAATTAATGGCCTAGGAGCTGGTTATCCGAGGGACCACTTTTCTCCCATTGTGTCTGCCCATCCCATAAAATCTGAGAAGATGGGCTTGCTTCATGTCCCGTATCTCCAGCAATGCCACCTGATGGGATTGGAAGCAGGCCTTCTCTGTCATGGCATCTACCCTCTGAAGTAGCATCTTCCCAGAGGCTCAAACAGCTCGGACCTTGCTAAGTTATAAAAAAGCCTTGAAAGACCTGGCTTTTTCTCCAGGACTCGTGGTGCATCCACTATGTGGATTAGTTCATGGCTACAGTTGTTCCCTCATTATGATTGTCTTTTATGTTTTTTCTGGTGTGGTGTATTGTGGTTTTGTTTTTCATTTATAAGCTGCGCAGTGGTCCTGTTGAGCTGGTTGGCTTTAGAAATCTAACTTATAAATAAATAAATGAGACTAGAACCAAACAAACCACAATGTGTCTTAGTGTCACGTGCG